TTGTTAATTTTTGACTGTACTTCGTCTTTTTAATCTGTGTCTATACCTTGTAAAGCACTTTGTGATCTCTTATCTAGAAATGTGCTATATAAATAAAATTTTACTTACTTTTTACTTACTTACTTCTATGGTAATTATGTGACGCATGCAAATTGATAAGGACCAGGCAGTGTTCAGACAATGCTTAGATGTTTCCTCCAGATCAGTTGCCTGAAATTCATAAGTTCATCTAATAAAGTTCTGCATAAACTTTCCAAGTGCAAAACAAATCTTTACCGGTACCTTCCTTTTACCAGGTATGACCACGACAGCGGGCACGACAGCGGCAGTGAAGATGCATGCTATGAGCTCTCCCAGCCCTTCACCCTCGTCACCTTGGGCATGGGCAAACTCATCATCCCGAAGGCTTCTTCAACGTCTAGCTCTTCCACAGCAAACGCACAGTCAGCTGATCCCGGCAGCCGCATCCTTCCTATGCCCCAGCGCTTGGGCATATGCCTTGATTATGACGCGTGCCGAGTGTATTTTTACGACGCAGACACCATGAGGTGCCTTTACGAGAGGCAGGTCGATTGTTCGGGAACAATGTATCCGGCTTTTGGCCTCATGGGCAGCGGCAAGGTTCAGCTGGAAGAGTTCCTAGCCAGTAAGAGACTGGCCTTCTAAGGAGTGCATTAAGCCTGGAATCCATTTCATCTTTAGTGTGTTCTGGGAAGAACAGGTTTTATTGACAGGGTGATGGAATACAATTCAGACCATTTTTGAAGGTCAAATCAGGCAGATGTGATTAGGGCACTTGGTCCTAATGTGGAAATGGGATCCCTGCCAGGGACTGGCCCTTTTCTTTTTTTCTCCTCTCCTCCCCCCTCCAGTATTGGCATGTATAATGTATCCACACGAAGATAATTACGCTGAATATCAGTGTCTGCATACAGAGGTCTTCGGTAGTCCGTATAGATGTAAAAGGTCTTCTCCATATACCAAAGTCTCTGGATCTGGTAATTGTATTGGACCTGGTTTTATGATGAACTGCTCAAACTGAGTCTTTTAACATTAAACGCCTTCGATCTTCCTTTCCTTATTTTTTTTCTTTTTTCAGGCTTCGGTTTAGTGTTTGTTTCAGTTAGTGGGTGGTTTGTATTTGCTTGTTTTCTGTAACCATTTACGTTAAGGTAGCAGCATAGGTGTAGATATATTAGTGGACCTGAGAGCCTTGTAGCTAACTGAAGCTAGCGCCTTTGTGCCTTTTTTTTTTTTTTTTTTTTTTTGGAAATGGATGAATTAGTTTTCTCTAGCAACCAGATGTTGACATTAAATACTGGATGTGAGGATTTGGTGTAGGTACAGTTGGATCAGACACTGGCCTCATAGATATTAGAACTTATTTACTCTTTGTCACAAACGCTACTCCTCCTCACACTTATGTTTAGCTGTTTTTGCACAATAAAATGAGTCTTGCACAATAAATTTTAGTCTTCACAGCTGGATCACTACTTAGCGTAAACATTGCCGATATACAGCTATCAGTACACTCTCACAGCTACCTTCACTAACAGATATAAACCCTGGAGTATTTACTGTGATTTGAGACTTTTTGTGTTTCCTGTTTTTGTTTTTGTTTTTTTGCTTTCACTTCTGTTGCACAGCACAATTTGACTTTAAATACCATAAAACTGTCAAGGTATCAGAACACCAGGTGCTTACTGTTTGACAGCTGCAAAGTCACAAATGGCTCTTCACCACTGATGCAGTGCGAGTTCTACTTTGGTGCTTTTGAGAACCAGCATAAGCTTTGACAGGTTTGATGCAAATGTTGCATGGCATTACATAAAAGTTGGGTCTTTTTTTTTTTTTTTTTTTTTTTTTTTTTTTTTTTCAGCCTACACCTGTGAATCACCTAACTTTCTTGCAGTAGTGCCTTTTGTAGCCACTTACTATGGATCCAAACTTGGGGCTAGCTTTTAGGACCCAGTAGTGCTGTCTAATTCAAAGGCATGGAGCTAGTTGTAGACTAGGCACTGCTTTGGTGGAAATAAAGCATATTAGCCAAAGCTTTTTTTGGTTCTGGTGCTGACTTGATTGCAACCCACATCTTTGTGGCCTCACAGCCTTTAGTTTCAGAAAAAAAAAAAAGACCTAGCTCTTCAGGTTCTTACAAAACGTGCTATCACAAATTGCACTGTTTAGTAGCTATGCTGTGTAGCATGTGTCGCTATCAGATGCCAGAGTGGCTGATTGGTTTTTGTTTTGTTTTTTTGTTTTTTTTCAAAGAGCACACTAGACTGTTCAATAGGAAACCACATTTGTTTTTTGTATACACGCATACTGTATGTGGTTGCACCTGGGTTTGCTTGTACATGTGTGTGTATATATATTTTGATTTCTGGAGGGTTAGGGTCGTCGGTGTGTGTGCGTTTTTCTCAGGTTTCTGGCCTCGATTGAGGCTCAATGCTACCTACCTCTGTCCATCAGGCCTGGAAAACCTTAACTACTGTACCTTTCCTTACAGAAACTAGTTTGATTTGATTTACAGCTGTCCACCTAACAGTGCAGTCTCTGCCTTCTTTCATGTCACGTAATAAGCTGATTGCTTGTGTTTGCTTTTTAATTCCATGTACAGTTTAATCAAGAGTGTATTATTTTGGGTGAAATTAAGTACACAAATGTTCATATAATCGGTTGGTGTTTTGCTTGTAGATCACTTTTGATGGAAATTACTGTAAGCAGATGTTACCTGGTTCAGTTGCCTTTTTTGGGAGACATTCTTGTTTTGGGTCTTAAAAACATGAAATTTGCTCTTAATTTTATCTGGATAGAAATTTTTAGTCTCAAGGTGAAATATTTAATTTCTCTTATGGTGCAAGTTTTATATATATATAATTTTTTAAATTCCCCCCCTTACATGTTTATTTTCACTTGAGTCCTCAACATCTTTGTAAAACACTTCTATGCATTTATGAATTGGCAGTGCAGCTTTTATGTTTTATTTCCATCACAGAATGTATTCTCAATCACAGAACAAACTGAATGTCTTCAGGTTCTTAATTTTTCCTGAGTATGTAGTTGTTCCACTTGAGGGTCACAGCACACTCATGTAGTTTATAGCATCCTGATACAAGACCTGTAATTGCAATACCACAGCTGACTCTACATTAAACTGCATCCTAAATAAGATTTTTTTTTTTTTTTTTCTTTTTGCTTACAAATTTAGAACCAAATATTTTTGAAGGCTGGCTCTCAATCTAATTCCAAGCTAGCACTTTAAAAATCTGTAGCATGTCAGCAAATGTTTGGCTCTGCGTGTGTGTGTGTGTGTGTGTGTGTGTGTGTATAATGGGTGTGCAATATTATTGGGCTGCAGAACTGAAGAGAACACTAAAATTTGCACTGCTAACATTTTCTAGGTTTTGTGGTTTTAAGAAATTGGGCTTTAGCTTGATGTAAAGTAAATGTTGAAACTTTCTTTTGTAAGTGCAACACTGAGATTTTCTATCCTGTATATCGGTGACAGTGCATTTCTTTAGAGAACTGTATGTGGTGTGTAAATGGTGGATTTCTGTGTGTACCACGTTAAAGATTTGTCAGTATACTTTGCTCTGATTCATGTAAAGGCTACACTTTAATTTCTTGTGTGGGGATTTCATGAAATAAAGGTTGTTTTTAAAAGCAGATTTTCTTGTGATCTTTATGTATTTATACAGCTGTGTGGTTACTTTTGTGCGTATTACAACTGCTGAATGAATCGAACATTGTCCCAGTTACCAGACTTAAAATGTTCTTCACCATCATCACAAGCCCGGTTACAGTTAAGTCTTCATACTTTACAATCATACTGCAAACAAGATTTTATGTTAGTCTAGATATAGTATGCATTGCAATCAACATTTGAGACTGAACCACAGAATTTGGATAGTACGGCCAGAATATGACAAACTTGAAACTATGGATCCATTATGCTCGTTGTGTTGGGGTTTCTCGGTCCACTTTGGGCCCTTAGTATCAGCTAAACATCACTTAGACACCAGTCTTATCAGAGTGTTATTGCTGACAGTCTTTACGTCTTTATGGCCACATTTGAACCATTTTCTGATGTGTACATTTAATTTGAGCTGTGTGACAGAAACTTCGATGAAACTGGTTTCTTGAACGTGAAAATGAGGTAGCTGTACTCGAATGGCCTCCAGTCTCCAGATCTGTCCAACAGAGCGCCTTTGGAATGTGGTGGAACGGGAGATTAACATCATACATGTGCAGCCGACAGATCTGCAGCAACTGTGCGCTGCTGTCATGTCAGTATGGCCCAAAATCTCTCAAGGAATGTTTCCAGCACCTTGTTGAAGGTACACCACAAGAAATTAAAGCTCAGGTGTTTTTTAAAAAAAAGAAAAGGAAAAAAAAGTGTAACCCAGTACTAGCAAGGTATGTGTCAGAGCCAGCATGTGTGAATCCTTTTGATAACCTGCACACTTTGGCCCACCCCTGATGATGATGATGATGATGATAATAATAACTGATCAGCTCATTCTCCAGTATCTAACAGTTTCACTTCTGAATTTTCAAGCAGGGCTGTATCCAAAGATATACTGAAAATATATTTTTAGTGGCCTTTACCCTCATTTCGAAATGCTTTATTTTGTAAACGTCGTGCATTTCTCTTTTTTTCAGTCTTTTCTTTTGTCTTATCTGTGCAATGATACTTCAATTCCCATGTGTTAGCAATAATAAAATTAAAAAAACAAAATATAGCCTTCACATTTTAGCACACAAAAAATAACAAGTAGTCATTTAGGAAACCAGAACCCTGCAATCCTGGTATTTAGTGGTTTCTGACTATAAGGGCACACATCAGGATTCTTTTCTCTTTTTCTGGTGGTTGAATTCGCCAAAGAAAGACTGAATCGTCCAATCATCCACCTGCAGGAGGATGCTGGTCTGTGAGGGTATTGGAGGAGGAGGAGGAGGAGTACGAACGTCACGTTGTCCACGCTCGCTGCCCGTCGTCGCAACGCGGAAGCGACGAACGAGGAAAGGGCGAATCCACGTCACTGAGGTGTCATATTGGCGTCAGTGCAACACAAGGTGCTACCTATCCCAGATATTTTCATTCATGTAGGTTATAATAACTCGTATGACCACAAAACGAAGGTATATCCGTCTGTTTGTGCGCCGGAGGGGGTCCTCGGTGGAGACTCCGGGATTCCTCTGAAGGTAAAATACGCACATTTGTGTGTTTGTCCGCTACCTGCTAGCCAGCCTGACCGGAACCACCGGACGGAGCCTGCCGCTGTATTTCCTCTGGACACCGCTGACCATTGCGGAGTAGAGAAAGCGATTCCCATTGCTTTACCGATTCAGCGTCGTGGTGGCGATTAGCGCCAGCACTTCAGTGTCCCGGTCTCGGTTAGCTAGTCGGGATTTAAGGCTTCACAAGGCTTCAGAGCGTTGTTGACGTTTTCGGTTTGACAGTTGTCGGCGCCCCGCTGAGGACCTGCTGGCTTCACTCATTTACATCCACAATTCTTATCTTAATGCAAATAATTTACAATCAGAAGCAGCTGCAGGCTGATTCACGGGCACAATGATAAATGAGCAGGGTGCTCTGAGCAGTTGTGAGAAGTGCAGGTTAAACTGTAACTACAGACGCTGAGGCCCATTCATTGTTGTGATTTTGAGCCCATCATCAGCAGCAGCAGCAGCAGATCTAAGAAGCATGTAATTCAGCAGAAGCTTAAAGGACCACAGCATTCATTGCTGGAGCTCATGAAAGCAGTTGTGAAATGCCTCCTGTGGCCTCAGGGTTATCTAACATCGCTGCTTCACCTTAATAGAAGCCTTATTACTGTGCGTGGTTGGCACACAGCGATGGACTGTGTTGGCAGATGGAAAAATGCTTATTTTGGCATGATGTGCAGCACTGTTTACAACAGTATTTTGTGATCATGGCTCCAGTGATCCCGGTGCAGTGTATCACACTCCTATAAAAATGTATGTAATAGAGTGTAAGTGTGTTGCGGCTGAACTGTTGGATATTACAGGGTTATTAAAGTGTTATAAGTTGCTTGTGAGTGACACAGTTATAACATCATTCTGTTGCTGTTCATTCAGTCGATTTGTTTGCTCACATATTACTTCTATGCTTCATTAATCCTTCAAGTTTCCTATATGTATCCTGTTTGCATTCTATCCACGATTCACTCACATGTCTTCCCTATTTAAACATTTACTGTCCAAATATCAGGCTGACGTTTATATAACATGTTGCTTAGTTTATGTTAGGATATGTTTGCAGACTGCACTTTACTAATCTTCCATTCACTCTAGCAATGGTGACGGATTACAGTTCTCAGTTCCATTCATGGTTAAATTGGCATCCTATCGCTTAAGATTGTTTTTTGTTTTCTCCACATGCCCTGGCTTGTGGGAAAGAGGTGTGTGCGTTTATTAAATATTATCAACACTGACAGTCAGAAGAAGCTAGATGAGATAGACTGATAAAAGACTAGTTATAACCTTGGCTGTATCACTAGATTATTTGTAATGTAGCACTATAGCTTGTAGTTCAAATCCAGTAGTATTTATGTTTTTCAGCATGGAGGTATTTGCTAAAAAATATGGGAATGTTTTTCTTTGATAACACTGTCTACAGCAGCATTGCAGCCTGCTTACTCCTTCTATGAAAACACACGCTTTTCAAATAGCACTCCTTCCCTGCAATCTTTCATTACATTGAATAGAAGAGTATGGTTTGCATTAACTCTAACATGTGGTTATGGTTTTCAAAATTATCGCACCCAGAACTTGTTTTATAGGAAACACCCATTTTTCACACCCTATACACACCTATTATTTCAAACCGATGATCATGTAGAGTATCAGTGTAAAATTACTCTGAAATGGGAGGGTGTCTTTGTGGCATTGTCTGCTGATTGTTAACTATTGTTGTAGGGTGTGTCGATAAGATGCCAAAAACCACAGAGCGCTGCATGAGTAAAGTTCTTCATTCTGTTTTGGTTTATTTGAGGATTTTGATTTTAATGCATCACTATTGTTACATGGAGTGAAGGCCGCAATGACAGAAAACGTAACCTGTCATGTGTTTAATTTGGGAAAACTAGAGCTGGAGATCTAGAAACGTGCTTAGAAATCTTTCTTCTCCAATTCAAGTAATTCTTGATTTAAGTGAACATCTAAGCGGACAGTTATATAGAAGCAACGCCAGCTCACAGCAAAACGAACACTTTGCATTCAGCTCAGCAGCTCTCAGACTAATTGCAAAGCAAAGGGGAACTCAGATTAGGTGAAGTTTTGCTTCCTTTTTTTGTAGGTAGCCTCGCTTCATGAGCAGTTACTGATGAGTTTAGTCAAATGCCTGAGTGTCTGTTAGCTCTTTTGAGCCTATAATGTAATTTTATGTTAGATTATAGATGACAGCATGATTATAATAAAACAATGCTTCCAAAGGTAGTATTGAGTGAGTGTATATTTGACATTTTCAGCCCCTGTAAAGTCTGACAACAGGTTGTTTGCCCTTATTGTTAAATGAGAGAGGCGTTCTCAATCTGATTTAATCTGTCTAATTGGTTGTCTTAATCGGTTAGCCCAGAGTACTATGACCAGGTCAACTGGCTGTGTGGTGGGTTGAAAATCTAAAGCTACTAAACTGTTGGCTAATCTGAAAAGGAAGCGTTTGATACGGCTGGTGACCGCTCTGTCTTGACTTGCACGAACAGCTAGATGTGATCGAGGACAGACCCTAGCCTAATACGTGTGCGTGTGATATTAACGCCGTTGTTTGGCAGTACTATTTATTGACTTCCTCTCTCTCTTCCTTTTCTGTTTTATACATTGCATTGAGTTAAATTGTAATTTAAAATTTGCATCACATTTAGAATATGAGAACATTTATTTTCAGGTAGGTGACACTAATAATACACCACTTCAGAGTGGAGAGTGTTAATGTAAGCTTATTAGGCAGAGATTGAAAACAAAACACTTCAGGAGCTCTTAGAGAGGTCGGCTCTTCAATAGTACAGGGACTGCATAGTCACTGTTACGCTTACTGAGTGCAAAAAAACAATGACAGGAGTATTTGCTCAAATGAAAGCCTTCCTTTATGACTCAAAAAGGGGAACTTTAGTCAGTTCCTACTAGCAGTGGGGCATTGTGTTTACTCAGAGACTCTCTTTGTAAGGTCATGTGAGGAACATTGTTGTAGGCTGACGCTCTAATTTTGTATTCTCAACAGCCAGTGCAGGTGAGAGGGTGAGCTATAGGCCAGGAAGTTATGGTTGGCCATGAGTTGTACTGGTGCTGTTATATTTTTTTTTCCAAAATTCTGGTCTTTCCTATTTTGTTCTTTTCCATGTTGTGCTTTCAGTCAGTGGCTGATTTATTAGTGCTTGTGAAAGCTACATAGTAGTTTATAATGTATGGATAATCTGCACCACTGCAAACACTTAGAGGTTCAGCGCGTAAAATCTATAAATCCATTACTGAATTTTTTTAGGGGCATTTTTTCCCCTTTATTTAATAGTGAGAGGAGAAAGACCAGGGGAACACACACACAGTGAACCACTAAAGAGCCACAGGTCATTTCAACCATATTGCGTATGGCTGAAGGTGATACTGGACGTCATTTCCTTACCCCTCCTAATTCAAGTGCAGAATCCTAGCTATGGTGGTCAATGTAGGATAAACAATTAAGTGAAGCTTGCTTCTGTGATACCGAGGTGAGCTTTGAGGATACGCTGAACTTTTCTGTTGTTAAGCGCAAAAAAACCTCTGTTAGCTGCTGTTAGCATCTGTTAGCTGCTGTTAGCATCTGTTAGCTGCTGTTAGTCTCTGTTAATGAAACATTTTTTAAAGTTGAGATACTTAGTGGATAAAGTCTCGTATAATGTGGGAACGTAATTAAATTGTTTATTAGAAGGAAAGTGTATATTTATGAGTACAACATTCTTTTTTCTATCAAATGACCTTAAAAAATGAACTTACTGTACCTGTAAATAACTGTGCTAAGATTTGATCTTTTTCTAGTACATCCATACAAAAAAACCCCCTGAAAGAGCGCTTAGGATATTTTGTAACTCTCTCTTCTTCACTTCCTTCCATTCTGTGTTTGTCTGGCTCTCCCCTTGGGTTAGGTCTGTCTGCACAATTTAGTTGTCAAGTAAATGTTAATTGCAATGTGTGAAATGTTAAACAGAAATCAACCCTCCAGGTCTCATAGCAGATCTAATAATAGTCACGTAAAAACTTTCTTTACATGCACTTCCAAGTGAAAATGACGTTTTGGGGCAATAAAGAGCCTTTTTTACTGTTTGATCTTATGAAATATGAGATGTATCAGAGCAGCAGTTTTTTTGTGAGACACGCCAGATGACCTTAAAATAGGGATGCGCTAAAAGTGAAGTTCTCGGCTAGTATTGATGTTTTTAAAAAAACAATTTGTCCAGTAGCCGATGCCAAAACAGACGTTATTTTTGGGTTTTCTTGTTAGTTTAATCCACTTTTGTGCTAGAGAGAAACAAAGAAATTCTCATTATAAAAAAATAATTGAACTATTTTAAAGTCTTTCACCCCTTCATCCCTCCTGTCTTCAGACATTTAGCCAGCCCCGAATTGATGTGGCTCAACAGATGAACATCGACTGCTGCTAGCGCTGAATGTTATCTGACAGGCTGATGACAGACAAAAAGGCCTTTTACACCCAGGATACCTGCTTTACCGAATGAAAAATACTGCCTCTCATTCTGTGAGATCTCACACCTTTGTGAGAGTGTTAGATCCGTCTTTGTTCACATGTACTGATGTACAATATACAGAAGTACACTTCAGCTAAGCCCCTTCAGTATGCTGGGTGTATTCAGACTTGACAACCACTTTATTTGTATGGAATAAATGTGAAATGAGATTCTGTTTTTGCCTTTTTTGAGCTCTTTTGAGGCAGGTGTTTGATTAAATTTTTCCATTAGAGAAAGTTCACACATAGACAGTAGGAGAAATGGTGTAAACAACACTGTTTTGGTTTAAGGAGTCATTTCACATGCCCGATTTGGGAAAAATCTCTTAAGTATGACACTTTTTCCATATCAGAATGGGTAAAGATGCAGCAGGAACTTTAAGAGTGGGAAATGTGAGCAGTTTGTGCAGTTAAACTCCATTTTTGAAAAATAAAATTGTGCTCCAAGGGTTAATGGACCGGACTTTGAGAGTTCTTAGCCACATAAGGGTTTGGCACCAGAGAAGAAGTGGTGTATGCCATGCAGTATTCAGGAGTTGATGAATGGTTTATTTATTAAATGTTTCTGTCTGCTTGTTCTCTCAGAGTGGCCCACTGCCTCAGCTTTTAAATGGGTGAATCAGGCTCACGGCGATCAACTCTTGTTTCCCGCCTGCCAATCTTCCGCCGCAGCAGCAGCAAGAGGCAGGAGTCCCTTCCCTCCTCTCCATCTTCAGGCGGAGTGGGAAATGGCGTCCACACCTCCTCGCCTTCCAGCACCAACTCCAGCTCCGGCAGCACCGGGAAACGGCGGAGCCTGTTCCGCACGCCGTCTCTCAGCTTCGCAAGTAAACGGAACAGCGATCCACGTGTCCAGCCTATCAACCTCAACCTCACACCGCCGCTGACACAGGGCACCGATGCCAACGGAAATAATCAGCAGGCAATAAGCACGTCGGTGTCAACGGGGTTCAGCGATGGCGGCGGACGGCCCAAGTCACGCCACTCATTTGGATTTGGCAGCCACAAGCAAAAGAAAATCACACGCTCTCAGACTGAGGACTTTGACAAGGCTTCATCATCGTCCTCTACGACCAATCGAAATGTGTTCATCAACTGCATCAGCAGCTCGGGAACCAATGAGGGCGATGACTCCGGGATCCTCGATGACTACAGTGGCGGCAGTAACAACAACAGACGGTCATCACGCCAGAAGAAACAGCTGCTTCCGAAGTCTTTCTCAGCTCACCAACGCTTCTCCCGGACATCTGATCATCACAGGCCCCCTGAAGTGAAGCTGGAGCCTCCCAGCACCACCGCTACCATCACTCCAGGGGCAGGAGGGCTCACCCCAGGATCCTGGCCTGGTGAACTTGGTGCTGGTGGTGAGAGCTCACTCCAGTCCCCTATGATATCAGAGGATCGAACCACAGCGATCACTCCTTCCGAGTTCATTCCAATCACTGAAGACTCTGTATCTGAAGTAGATGCGCTGCCAGCTCCGAGCCCCGGATCGGGTTCAGCACCAGAACCGGCCTCTACACCAGGGGTAGATACGGAAGCTGCTCCACCCGATCATCCACCTGTTCCAGAAAACTTCAGCGTGGCTGTCTCTACCTCCCAGGTATCATGTTTGTTTTGTTGAAGAAGGTTTAAAATCAAATGGGGTTAACCAGTATAGACTAACAATGAGTTTAATAACACATAACAGCTTTTATGATAAAAACGCACCACATTTAAATACTAAGTAATCGGTCTGCATGTAACCAAATAGACTTAAAAAGATCAAAAAATGTTAGGACTTCAGGAATACAGCTGCAGTTGCCGTTAAATGCAAAAACAACAACAAGCACAAAGGACGAGTATTTGTGACCACTGTTTGGAGTGTGTGAAATATGGAATAAAAGTTGAGCACCGGGCATAAAAAATCCTTTTATTGAAAGAGCTTAGGCATGAAAAAGAAGACTAGTGCATGTCTGAATTCTGCCCTTCGCATTTCACACCTTTACGCTCACAACTTTTCTTCCTTCAAAGCATTTATTCAGAGATATTATTCTGTTTTACTGCCAGCTGAGGGAACTTCAAAAAATGAAACCATTCACTTTCCTTTATGGCTTTAGAGTAGTAAAGACTGCATTATTTTGCCTTCTAAACATGTGCACTTTGGTGCATGAGAACACAAACATCCACCTTTTAAATGCTAGCTGAAGGGCGATCTTCTGTATGTAAACTGTTAGCTTTTTGCTTCATTATCTTGCCAGTGAGAAATTTGAACTTTGCACATTAAATAAAATGCCTTCTCCTCAGGTTTTCTTCACTCCTGCCCAATCAAGCACTGAAAAACCCTTACTCCCGGACACCAGCACAGCCAACAACACGGACTATGAAACTGCCGTTTCCGTCTCGGAGCCTGAGACGGCCGTACCCTGCCTACCTCTGCGGGAACAGTCACTGGAGGAGAGGAAGGAGAGGGAGGAGGAAAGGAAGGAAGTGAGGAAAGAGTTGTCAGCAGAGAAGAGGGAGGACTTGGACTTAGAGAGGAAGACAGGTTACCACACAGAGACCACAAGTGAGAGCGAGGCGTGCGTCGTACGCAGTGAGGGCTGCCACTCTAACCCTGAGCAGTCAGAGAGGAGGGCAAGAACCACGCGATCTTTTCAAGAAAGAGGAAGCTTCTGCGGCTGCCATGAACCCAGACCCTCTCACTTGAGGAAACCACACACAGGTATCAAATTCAAGCAAATGCTTGCAGGTAAATAACATATTTACATGCAAAGCCAAAGCCACGGGCATACAAATGTATACAGCCTATGTGGTCAGTGTGAGTCATAGAGCTGGGCTGATCCCATGATGTAAGAAACACACACCAAGAAAAAAATGTACACACGTTACGTTTGCTGGAAACTAAGCCTTTAACTTCACACATACACTTTGTTCACTTTGACACTTTCATTGTCTTGTACTTCTTTCCACACGTTATGACTTAAACACACAGATTCACTGTACTGACTGGCATTTCCAAAACACCAGTGTAGGGTTTGGCAATAAAAGGCTCAAAATGATATCACAACATTTTAAGGGAACTTACGATCATGATTTTGATGACAGTTTAGAAGATATAGAGAAAAAGCTACTGAACAACATTTTATCTGTAATTGCAGCAGCAGAGAGCAGCATTTATTACTGCAAACAAAATGAGGGCATTTTCTGTCCTCCTTTTCCAGCGAGTTACTGTCAGTGATGACAGACTACATAATTGAAAGTGTAAATCTGTTGCCACAAGGTGCCAGCAGAAGCAGCTTTACAGTGCAATAGTGGTGAGACAGCAAACCAAATCAGTAATTTCATTCCACTGTTTGCTCGTCCTGTCACACCGAGCCATGCTTGGGGGAGTCATTTGTTTACTATTGGTTGCACACGACCAGTTGCTAGTATCTCCACGTCGTGTGGATTCTGATGGTGTGTTTTGGCCTCAAGTGGCGAAACACATTTGGTACTAAATCATCATCGTGAGAAGCTGACACATGGCTCTTGCTGTCAGATATGCCTGGGCTTGTCTTGTTTGGAATTGCTGTATTGATTGATATCATTGATATCATGATAAGACACTCATTTCATGGAGCTTTCTACATGCTGTTCTTGAGCTAATCGGAAGGTCACATTAAGTTTGTAGCAACTGACTCTGTGCACTACGCACCTCAGCATTCACTGAGCCCACTCTGTGATTTTATGTCGCCTACCACTTTATATATAACTTTCACTTTGTTATAATACCACTAATAGTTGACTGTCGAATACCGGAGTTGTTGCACAGGCTGGAATTCACCGAGCTCCTGAGAGCGACCCATTCTTTCACAAAGGTATTCAGAAGCAGTGTGTATGTTAGGTGCTTGATTTGTACACCTGTGACTATAAAGGTTATTGAAACACCTGAATTCAGTTATTTGGGTGGGTGCATAAATACTTATGGCAGTATAGCATACATCATAGCAGGTCTTATTACCATCTTGTAGCCCTTACCTTTGACTCTTGCTGCTATCGTCTATCACAAATCACCCCTAACACCTTTCTCTGCCTACTCCACCCTGGCTGCACTCTTTTCTTTCACCTCTGTTAAGCACCATTTGTTGCTTCGGATTTGCATGAGACAGGCGAAAGTACTTAAACTCATCTGACTTCACCCCTTCTGCTCATTGAATGGTCACTGTTACACCTGTCTCCTTCTCGTTCACAGACGTGTATTCTAACTTTCATTCCTCCTTTCTAGAGCATATCTCCACCCCACCTGTTTCTCTTCCACCTGCTACTTACTCTCAGGGGCAATCGCAATGTCATCAAACGTTATAGTCGATAGAGAACGAGGGCTCATCAGGCCCAATCCCTGATGTAATCCTACCCCCACCTTGAACTCATCTGTCACTCCTAACATACACCTCATCACTGTCTCACTGTCCTCAAACATGTCGTGGACCTGCGTCACATACTGATGCATGCAAACATATTGAACGTGAATCATTGTCGGATTCTAAATTGTTGTTTTTGCATGAAAAAATTTATGGCAACAGTATTATTGTATTATTGGAGATGTTCATTTGTAAGTATGATCTGAACAAATTGCTGTTAATATAGTCATTGTTACGTTTTCATCAAAAAAGATCCACATTCATCTCTGCTGAAATGAGTTTGACAGTGAACATTTATTATGAAGTTAAAGTGATGCTATGCTCCTGCTACTTCAGTGTTGTTTGGTTTTATTACTTCCCTATGCGTGATTGTACAAGTGTGAATTAGAATGCCAATAAAAATCTTGAGAGTTCATTATCAAGCCTATCAAAGAGATTCTCCCAGGAAGCTGATAAGTGGAGGTGCTGTAAATTGGCATAATCGAGATTTAAAATGATATTATTCTCATGTCTCACAGCTTGTTCCCACTTGATGATTGCAGACTACAAGATGATTTGTATTGACATACGGAGCATAATGCCTTTGCATTGTTTGCTTCCAAATTGTTTGCTAATTCAAAGTTGGGAGTGAGAATGTTTCCAGACAATAAACGAATTAGGGCTGGAAATCGGCAACATGAATTTCAAATCAGATTTGAAACTCATGTGGCTGTCAGTCCTTCTTGCAGCAGCTCAGGCAGTTAATCTGGAAAAATCCTTTCAGTATATTAAATTAGTGGCAGCTGTGGACTGACTGAAACAGTAAGTGTCACATTGAAAGTGTTTTTCTTAAATAAAGCTGATTTGTTAATGTTATCCTTAATTCACCTCCAGCTGCTGCAACACAATGCGCACTTTCTTCTTGCCAGACTTTCTCTGGTAACAACAAAAAATGCCTACAAAACGGCTCTCTTGAGCAGCTGAGTGCTCAAGAGAGGTGAAGAAGAAAGGGTTGAGCGGTTGGAGACGACTATTGGGGTGATTTGTGACAGAAGGAAGCTGCAAGAGTGAAAAGAAAGGTTTACAAGATGGTACTGAGACCTACTATGATGTATGGTTTGGCACTTACAACAAAGAGAAGAAGCCGAGTTGAAGATGCTAAGATTTTTGTTAGGACTGACTGGAATGGAAAAGAAATGAGGAACAGCTGAGGTTGAGTGGTTTAGAGACAACGTTAGAGAGGCAAGGTTTAGACAGTTGGGACATGTGCAGAGGAAGTATAGTGGATATACTGGACACAGGATGTTGAATATGGAGCTCCCAGGCAGAAGGACAAGAGAAAGACCACAGAAGCGACAGAAGAGGATGTTAGAGATCGAGTGAGATGAAAGCAGACAATCTGCTGTGGCGAGCCCTAAAGGCACCAGGCGATAGAAGAAGAAAATTTGAATCATTCAAACTTGAAGTCCAGGGTTTCACTGGGAGGACTGTCTAAACTGTTTGATGAGGAATCAGAGGTCAGTTGCATACCGGCAGTACAGGCACTTTTGGCTGCTCCCTTATTTTCTTCGCCACAGCAGATGGATCCACTCGTTTGATTTGGTTCACACAATTTTATGCCAGATGCCATTTCTGATGCAGTCCTCTCTTTTATCCGGGCTTAGTGCTGGCATTATGTCGCCTTCTGACTGGATTTGTGTTTCCTCACGGTCTTGAACTGAGGATCTTTCACTTGTGAGACAAATGTGTTAACCACTGTAGCGCTAAATTGTTGTTTTGTTACCTTCACAGTTGAAACTGAAGAGACTGATAAGAAACTTGATAATCCACCAAGGTTTAGTCATGTTCAAAACGTTTCCTGTATAAAATGTGGGCATTGATACACTTTGATGATGCTCCCGATTTGCCTTTTTTCCCCCTTCTGTTAGAAACTCTAGAAGGACTGTAACCTTGATTATTGCAACTGTTCAAGGCATGCTGTTGTGCAGTCGAAACATGGCTTGATTGAAGGACTGTCTGCAAGCGAACACGTAACATGGTATTAATGGCCTATTTTAGCAACACACACACAGCATGTTGCAATCCCTCCTGAAGGAAAATAGCTGAATATTGATTTACACTTTGAGTTTCTGGCTTCCAGGCAGTGAGAACTACTGACAGACTATCACTGAGACAAATAAGCTCATCTGTTGACTCTACAAAAAAGGAATTTTTTGTGCAAACATTTGAACAGTCTACAATAAGGGTCCCAATGTGTTGTAACTCCATGTGTAGTTACAGATGCAATCATGGCACTTCTTCAGTGTTCTCATGTCTGCTTAGTTCTTGCATGAAGACTGCCGACTTACATGCCTGTTGTTTGCGCGTGTAAAGGTTCAGGTAACAGTGTGCAAGTGTAGCAAGAAATAAGGAAGATAAAATGGCTCATACAAAGTCTTGTTTTTGTGTGTCTGTGTGTCTCCTCTTGCTTAGTGACAGGATGCGGTATTGTCTCTCTGTTTTCACTTCAGTCTTCTAGGAGATCAAAATAGAGCAATTATAACAATCTTTCATTTATCTGTCTAAGGAGTATTTCCCCTGAAAACAATAAATAGCATTTGACCAAAAGCAATATTGCTGAAAAGCTTTGTAAATGGAAGATTGAATGTCGTTTAAAATGCTGAATATATAAAACATTGTGATTTAGTTTCATGAAACAAAAGCCCCTTTCTAACAGGAAATAGGGCTGACTGCATTAGTAATACAATAAAACATGATTACATCTATGCTTGTGGAATCACTGTTCTAACAGTTTCACCTGAATACATTATTTCTCTCCATCTGTCTGACTGTGTAATTCTCTTTGTTTCATTCTTTCCTCCAGCCTCACTGTGCAGCAGTGCCAGCCCCTACCACGAGGTGATGCGGATGGAAAGACGTCTGCGCTCCTCGTCCGAGGGGGCTGGTGGTCCTCGTATCCATGGAAACCACAGAGAAGCCCCCGGCATGGAGGGATGTGGTCTGCTCAAACACAGAAACAACTCCTCATCGTCTAAACTCGGGAGCCTGGTAGGGCTTAAGCTTTCTGTGTTTGTTTGTGTGTTTATTCGACAGCAGTGCCCTTTGATGATTATGTCATCAGTAGTTGTTTGTGCACATTTGCGGTAAACTATTTTTTATTTATGTATATATTTTACATCAGCTAGTCATATATTTTTGTGAGGTTATAATACATAATAAAGCACAAAAGTGTAAAGAAAAAAAAGTTAAAAATATATTCATTTGTGTGTGTTTCTGTATATTTAAAGCACTTTTGTGCTTTATTATTTGTGTGGTATTGTGTTGCTTTATATCATGCATATATACTCATTTGTGTTGAGGTGTCTACGGGAGTTTTGCCTTTTTGGTCAGTGATGGAGGCACTTTATTAAATGCACGCATCTCAGATGAGATATTGGCCACACCACTCTGTTGGCCCTGCTTCAAAGAAATTCTCCTCAGAAACATAGCTAACATGAAGGGACAATTGATTTTATTGTAATAAATGCTGTAACAACCAATTGTGGAAACAGTGTTACAGGTATTTAAGGTGTTTTTATGCCTACGGTTTGTTTACTCTGGTATGGAGTTTGTGATTTTGATTCTTTTCACACAGAAAATTCAAGCAAATCCAAAAGCATCACTACAAATCACGTGAACTAAATAAATACAGAAGGAGATAAAAAATGTAGTCCTTTGACCAAATTGTCAATAAGGCAACATACCAAGTGAGCTACTGGTTAATTTTGCAGGTAGTTGCTATAGTTTGTTCATGTCTATAATGCTCTGCTGCATCCCAGAATGGGCCACATAGCTGACTACAGGAAGGCGTTTAGCTCCAACTTTCAGCATACACACAGTAGTTGGATCGGATCAAAGTCGGATCACATTTATGCCAAAAACAAACCCCACTGGAGTTTATCTGGAACTGGACTCATACCACCTTCTCCAAAGCGTCTTGTTTTGATCCACACCTGAGTGGAATTACCACATTAACATCTGCACAAACAAACTACACTAAGGGTGGGGTATACTGGTGCTGAATAAAAGTTGTGCAGTTCTAAATGTAAAACGTTCACGCTGGCTAAAGGACCCTTAAAGAGGATACTTGTGGAAATGCTGCTGGGTTTGGTCACTTTCACTAACAACATCAAGTCATTATTAAAGTAGTGCTACGACTCTCTGACCTTACTTTTTGCCATTGCTGTGTTGTAAACACTGTACTGCCTGTTCATACTGGCACGCCTACTCAGTGTACATGAAGGGTTATTTGAAATGCATTTACAGGCTTACTAGTACTACTTACTACTTAATTTAAAAAAAAAATTAAACCTTGTCTGGATGAAGATGGTTTGCTATTTAAAACCATGTTTTTAAATGATTACATTGAATTTCAACAATACACATAAAGATAACGAGGGGAAAAATACCCTCTCTAGTTGATTACTTGATTGTCATTTCAAGTATAAAATTGTGTCTCTTTTGAAAGGGAATAAAAAGAGAAGATGTAATTGGCCTCAATCATAGCCGACCACTAATGCAATGCCATTTAATATGTAATGCAATAAAGGATCCGGCCTAATCTCACTCAGTGCTCATGCCTCTGGCTATGCAAACACTAAATGTTCCAGCATGCCCTCAGCAATGCAGACATAGCTCTGTTTACTTTTTCAGCTTTGACTCAGAAAAAAAAGTTGTAAATTGTTGGGGTGATGGTATGTTGGTGGTGAGTAAGTGTCCTGATAATCTCAGGAAGTAACATTTTGAAATGAGACGCTGTTGAATCGACTGTAAATGAAATGGTGAATGCAGAAGTGTACACTGTAGAGGTGGAACAGTTTATTGAGGGTCACCACTTCTTGATTTTTTTTAGCTGTACTTAACAAACGGATTAGGGAAAAGTGGTTCATCAACTCACAGATTATTACTAAGGGATCTACATGCTCAGCAAAGCTGGTTGTGTCATTTAAATGATGTTCAATTGGTACCCAAATGGGGCCCAAAGTGGGACAATAAAATATCCCCCCAACTCTTGATACTAGGCAGGATGGATCCATGATTTCATGCCTCAGTTTCCTGCTCTTAAACTGACAGGAAGTGGCACCCGGAGTGGTCTTCTGCTGTTGTACATTCAGAGATGCTCTTCTGCATACCTGGCTTGTAACGAGTGTTTGTGTGAGTTACTGTTGCTTTCTTTATCAGCTAGAAGCAGTCCAGCTGATAAGAAGCCAGACGTCCTCTGACTTCTGGCATCAACAAGGCATTTTCACTCAGAGAACTGCATGCTCATTGGTTAGTTTCTCTTTTTTAGACCATTCTTTGTAAACACTATAGATGGCTGTATGGGAAATTGCCAATAGATCAGCAGTTTCACCGTGCCGATTTGAATATGGCAGGGTTACTGCACTCTAATTCTTGGTCGGTGAGTGCATGTCAGGTGTAGATGATGGTCTTGCAGTGTATTGCCAAATCCCTCATTGCTATGGTATTGTATCATACTATGAGGGATTGTGTGATTCCAACCCCTAATACAAGTCTTTTATACCTTACTCATTGCATCTGTCTCTGGACATGATGCACACTTCAGTAAAGATGAAGGAATGTCTTCTTTCCCTTTTCTTTGTATATAAAGGGGCCGTCAGGGGCCTGAGTCATGAAGGAAAGGTACGAGCCTGGGAGTGTGTATTATGCATCACCACTGTTACCGTCATGTAAATTTGTGGGGTAGCTGTTAGGTATATACCTAAGTGTGAGCTTTCTAATTAAATACAGAACTAAACTTAGTGAGGGCATGACTGGGATACAAATGGTTTGCTTATTGTTTATACGTATACTGTTTGGATGATTATGGTGGTAATGTGTTACAGAGCCTGTGGGATACAGTGATTATGCGACGCAAAACAGAGAACGGCTGAAGGATACAATACAAAAAACTAAAGATTTAGTTTGCAGTGACAAATGACTAATTTGTTAAATTTGCAAAGATAAACTGTGACGCGCCGCTGTGGACTGAAGCAAGCCGATGTTTGCTTGAGCCGTTTGGTGATTTCATTCCAGTAGTTATTGTTTTTTGATATCCCTCTGAGAAGCTGTGAGATATTTATTTTGTCACCATATTCAGTGTTGTTTGCTCATAAGTCTCTCAATGACAGCTGTGATAATACTGTGACAGTCTGACAATGATTACACTCAAAAGTGGCTGAAAAAAACATTCTTGGGGAATTGTCTCTTATCTCAGAGAACAAACAACTTTGAACATGGATTTTAGTTTGTAGTTTGATGGATATGTATATGGCAGAATTCACTTTACATTGACTGTTTTACTTATGTATATCAACTATCGACAGTCTCTTGATTGCTAGACAGTGTTGTAATACAGAGTGGCTCTTGTTTTCATATTTCTCAGTCTGATTGTTGCCTTGTGCAGGCTAGATAGCATAAATGGCACTTGTATTAATCATACACAGATAAGGATTCACTTCCTCTCCAAGACAGAATTTGTAATGACCACAAGCAGACGGTTTGGTTTGGGAATGAAAAACAGAGAGGATGTTCGCACATACTGGTGTTATATGCTCTCTTGGCCCCAAGACAGCACATAAAAGCAGTACCAATTATGATATAGTTGAACGTTCAAATCAAATGATTTTCTCTGAGGCTAATGCACAATGGTTATACTGCAGAGCCCTGACAGTAATGGTTTATGGAGAAAAGGTCTTGCAACTTATACGCACCAATGACTAGATGAGCCAAAATGCTGCAAAATAAACACGAATTTAAGGTGGTTTTGAAGTATGCAGTTGTCACATTTAGTGTGTAGATTGTCGTGCAGAGGACCCGAGCACAGAACGCTGCAGGCAGAGCACTAAAGGAAATGTAAAACTTTATTGTGGATTATCAGAGTCCTAAACTACAAAACTGTGGACTGTAATTCAAGAAAGTACCAGGAAACACCTGAGCAAGCGAAGGACAGCTCACACGGAGAGTCACTCAACAGGACAAAGGACATAAGGAGGACTAGAGTGTATATAAACACAAGGACTGTTAGGGATAAGGGACAGGTACACACAGTCAGGGCAATCATGGGAGTCAGACACTAAGCAACATTCAAGGCAAGACAATACAGAAAACATATGCCAAATGAAACCCAAACAAGGCAAAGACACATAACTAAATGTGGACGTAAGAAGACTTGGACTAAACAAGAGGACAGATACAAGGAAACACTAGAGGACAAAGTCATAAACTTAGAAAAACAAGACAACTACACTCATGAAAATTAACAAGCTCAAAAGAGAAATTGAAATTCAACAACTAAACATTATAACAGTAATTCATCTTAACGGGCATCCAGACTCCATAAACACGAAACAGTAACCAGAAGAACCAGGAAGTCGTGCGCAAGATACTGGAAATATAATAGAAAAACCAGGAGACTATAAAGAGCAGCGCTCAAGCAATACAAAACAACTGGCAATCACTGAGAACGTGATCCAAAACACCGAATCCTAACAGAGAAAATGAATACCAAGAAAACCACGAGATGACAACAGGAATCAAAAACATCTGTAACATCACAAGAAATCAAAACAAGAATTGACTGTTTAACAAAACTCAGACTTGAATATATTCACTCAGATAAGATAGACAAGTACCTGAGATCAAGGCAGCAGTAAATTATCGCATCATCATCATTATTATTATTATAAGTAAGGTTATTGTTGTTAATTAATTAGGTTTTATTTAACTGGTTGTCAGCACTTGAGAGGCTTTGGTGCGCATATTTTATTGAGACTGTTCTAATGTGTTGTTCAGTTATTGTAGTAGTAACAAAAAAAACAGTAAAAAAAAATGTGGTAAAACTTAACATTTAGAATTATTAAAAATTATGTTGAAACAAGCAAATCTAGTCAGCTGAATAAAGACAAGAATTAATAATGAATTTAAAAGAAAAAGTAACAAATTGCAATAGCTTTCTTTATATGTAAGTCTGACAGCTAGCTCATGAAAATTCAAATATATTCTTTATTATTTATTGCAAATTGAGAATGAGTAGTCTGTAATAATAATAATAATAATAATAATAATAATAATAATAATAATGATAAAAGCTATTTATATGGAAACAAACTGATCCTTGAATTAGTGCTCCATGGCAATTTCCCCCGACAGTACACGTCGCAGACCATGAAGATTTGATACTGGAAATAAATATGTCTTCACTTGTTTCACTGTAAAGAGGATCTGAAAGCTGGTCTGATCGACACTTTTTCTCTGAGAAAGCCTCGTGTCAGAGTTGATGTTGTTTTTTGTGTTGTTAAATTTGCCTGTGAGTTCCTGCTCTGACTTGTCAAAATGCTTGCAAACTTTCATCAGGCCTTCCAAGATGACCTGAAATAAATCTTAACCTGCAATATGTGATATCTTCTTAATCTTCTCGGAAAGATTTCATGCTTCCGAAGTTAGAAATGTAGCTCTGTCAGTCTAAGCCACGCGTTCGGAGCGAGTTTCTTACAGCGTCAGCGGTGCAAATATCTGGATTTGTTTCTCTTATTGAATCGCCCGTTGAATATGAAAACGTTTTAGTCGGGTTGCTTCGGTCTTGGACGACTGGTGTTTCTGTATTGAGTGATGGCTGTTAGAAAATGTCAAATGTCAGGTGTTAAGTTGTGAAACAAGGTTTTTTTCCCCTCAAGTAGGTGTTATTCAACGGAAGTTTCACTGGACGTTCAATCCTTCATGCCCTCAGGCGCACTGTAAACACAACTGGCTGCGAATCAGCGACTCAGACAGAAAGGAAGTCATTTTTTACTCCATAAATATCTGCAGCCATAATACCTGGCTGCAAAGCCAAATTGCTCTGCTGCGATACTAATGCATTCACCACCTTAAAGAAGTGAATAAATGTAATTTTCATAGACTGTATATGTGGTATTTTTTACAGAGTGCGAATGGAAACCTCTGGCTTTTTATGGACAGAGAGAATCTCTTGCTTCCTCTTATCCCTGTTTTGGATGTCATTCTGCTAGGCATTTAAGAGATGGAGCCATTTTTTGATGAGAGCAGAATCTGATATTATCTCTATTAACTCAAGGATTATACTCATTCAACTCACATTAGTGATGTAAAAAAGGTGACATCTCATGCTTGTAAAATCGTATTAACACATTTCTGTGGTTGGAGGGGCACATTAAAATGGGTAATTTTGCTTCAAATGAAGTCTGTGTGCAGTAGCATCACACAGTATGGCTCTTCATTTCTTTTCCCAATACCTTTTAGCTATTAGCTTTAATGCCTGAAATGAGGGCTTACGTGTTCAGGCGCATCACACTGAAATGCGTTCGGTGCTTTTTCTGATGTTTACCGCACCGCCATCCAGAGGGGGAAAGGAAAGGATAGAATTTTGACTGTTCATAAACACGTAACTGCTGCTTTGGAGAACATAAAGTCAACTGATTTGAAATTCAGAGGTGTGTTTAATGGTCAGGGATGCCACTGAGCTTTGAGGTTCAGATGGGAGGAGATCGATACCGAGTTGCTCGGAGGCAGTTTATGTCCAAACAACAGTGATGAGGGGTGAACAGAGATGGTTATTGGATTTTCTGATGCATTTTAATCTGTAGATGTTGTGCCAGACTGGTACTTGGTAGTTTGTGAATGCTGGTATTTCACTCTGGTTTTGGTTTGTAACTTTTTAGTGCACACAAGTTCAGGGAAGATATTTCTACCAGTACAACCAGGACAGGAATGCTACCCACTTACACTACATGTTGATGCAGAACTGCATTGACATGCAGGTTGTGATTTTCATTTGAGTCAACAGAGACCTGCTGATGATAAAAACATGTTCCCAGGGAGGTTGACATATATGAGTTTATGTAGAAGTGTCTCATAAATATTACATTAGCTGATAAATAAAGCCTATAAGTACACTTCCTGTTAGGCAGGAATATGCAGTGTTTTAATACATGTATTTGCCACACTATACTTCTGTGTGTTTTTTGCAGTGAATTTACCCATTTGTAACCATTGGATGGCAGTATTGACTTTTAAAATCCTGAACGTAAAGGAAACACATCTTACTGCGTCATTATAACCTCATAATGCCAAGAACATGGAAGCTTCTGCTGAAAGATTACAAGTGAATATCTGCTGTTAAGTGATGAAGCATGACTCACTGCGCTGCTGTGGCTATAGCTCATTTAAGAGACGAAGGATTAGGAAAATCTTATCAGTTATTTTCTGAAATTTAAAGAGTTTGTAAGAAATTTTAAAACCGTAACGTCAGTGAAGATAATGTTGATATTTCAAGGCCACCCAAGGTGGAGGGAGGTTTTCTTGTTAGATTATTATTGTTGACGTTTGGACAACACTGGTTTTTACATAAGAGAATTAATTTAAACTCAGTAATCAGAAGGCACTGGCTCGTTTTTTGTCATGATTTCTAGTTGTTTTTTCCCCTTGTTTATTCATCAGCAATTTTTAGCCTGTGAAGCATGGTAAAAGCTGACAGTGGCTGCACCAAACTACAGCCTCATTGAGCACTTTCTCAAACTAAACCCTTTATTAATCGTCCCTGCATAACAAGAAGAGCAATTTGTTCTCGATAGTTTGGATGTAATGATGAAGAACTAAATATCTTATTAAATGCAAGCAGAATGGGGGAAGAAATACAGTGCACTATTAAAAAGAACTGCATTATTATCATTTCTAATATTTATAACGTTTAATTTCTTCAGCTAAGTGATTCTTCTTCTGATTGTTCTGACCCACCTGGATTACTTTGATGAGAATCGTTTCATAATTTTTTGTAAAGTTGTCACATAGTAATTAGTATTCTGCGTTTCAGCGTTTGTTTTCGGAACCTTTTTGATTAATGACTACCTCGCTGAAATTGTATTAAAACGATCTATCATAAGAACATCAGGCAAAAAATTCTCTTTTATTTTTGTTCATTTTACAAAAGCAGGAAAAAAACCACCAGCGTGTATTATGTTATTGTGAGGATAATAATTAGTCGTTGCTTTATCGCTCACCTTTTCGGAGTTTGTTTCATGTTTGTGTTTTTGCTCTTTCTCATCAGGATGTTCTGAACAACCTGGGTTCCTCGGAGCTGGATGAAGACGACCTCATGTTAGATCTGGATCTCTCCGATGATCAGCGACACCGACATGGTAACGTTTTTTCTGCTGTTTCCGCCATAATAAACATTTGCATATTTTGCGGTGACATTGTAGGAAATCGGTGAGAGAATTCTGCAACCATTTTTAATCTTTTTAACCAGTTCTTAGCAGATTTCACTGATGATTCTGTACATGCAAAGTTCATTTAGATAATACTTCAAAATAGCTTTTCAAGATGCCTCCTATGCAGCGGGACTTGTTTCTAGAAGAACTCTGTGTAGGGGAGTTAATGGACATGTGACTGGATGATGAACAATTGCATCATAAGTTAAAACCCTGAGATATCTTTTGGAATTAAACAAGTTCTTTTACTCTTTATGGTTCATTTGCACTCCCATTTACTACAATGACAAAAGACTTCATTGCGACTTTTACACTTTGGTAATCCATCCAGTCTGGGGGGCCATATTGGACCCTCTTTGAGGACAGTTCTGACCCCCCAGACTCATGTTTGTAGGTTACATTACTCATGTCCTTTATATCTGTATCTCTTTTAATTAAAGGGAATATCTCCTCTCTCACCTTCCTCTCTGGTGTCACAGTCGCTCCCCTGTCTTGTTTTGCTTCAATCTTTTCCTTTATTAGTACACTTCTCCCTCATCACCTTAAAGCATGAAACCAGTGTTCTCCCTGCTTCTTTCAACACGTGCTGGGACTTTGATGCGGCTGCCTCATTTACACCAATCCATCTCCTTTGTTGTTCTGGCATTTCCATCACACTTCTCCTGACATGCGTCACAGTTGAAAAGTGTCTGTCGGAGGAAAATCGTTGCTCGTGCCCTGCCACGGTGGAGCATAGGAGTGCCAAACACCCTGAACCCCAGCTTCCTCTCATACAACACATAAGAATAGTATTGCGCTGAAAAAGTGCAGTCTAACCACCAAACATACAAATCTGTTAAGAGAAACTCTGTGTGTGCTCATGTATTGGCTTTTATTGCATCCATGTCTTAAAAATGGGATTTTTCTGTTATGAGTCAATGTTACAGTGAAATCGTTAGATTTTAACCAGCAGTGCTGTTTTTTTGCGCAGACATAACTGAGCAAAATCGAAAGCTCTTGCAGTTACTGTCTGTACTGATTATATTTCTGATCTGTGCTTGCAAAGGTTTAGTTCGTATTAATATGCGTCAAACCAGACAGATATACATAGTTGATGTGTGGTAGAGTGCAACACACGAAGAAAATGACTCAACGAGGTAAACATAAGCTTGTGATCATACTCCATTTCTGTGCTTCATGTTGCTCAGACACAGGGACTACAACAATGCAGCGACGGGGTGCGTTTATGTCAGCTCGACTAGCTTTGTCTCTTATCAACAGATCTATCGGTGAAATTATATGTTAATGTGAGGTTGGATTCATCTATTTCTAGGCCATATTTAAGTCCCAGATGGGCTCCTAGAATATTGCAGTTGCAGTCAAATAAAGTAAAATGCTCAGCAGCACTGAGAAGTAAAGAATACAATGGAAGCTTCAGCGCTAATAAACAGAATTTCCTATGCTTATGGGGTTTGAAGAGCATTGGGAGGCTGGGTGGTTCACTCACACAGCCAGTCAAAACACACACACACACACACACACACACACACACACACACACACACACACGCACTGAAAAGATCTCTACAGGCACTGGCTGATGCAGAGCTAAGGGAGGCACCATCATTAATATACACACTAGCACACAAGCGTGCATGCTTAGTCATTAGACCTAATGGTTTGCAGACTGTAGCATGAAATTAAAGGTTTGATGAATTGTTCTCATAAAGTCAAGGGACTAAGACTCTGTGCTGGCATTAGAAGAGTAAGGTTCTTCCACAAACTCAAATTACAGGAACTCATTTAAACACACCGTAACAGACATTCACGCAGAATACACAATACAGACACGTGCAGATCCATGCACAGGTTCATATAAAGATGTATGCAGACACACAGACGTACACAATTTGATGCACACCCATCTCACAATCCCTTACGCCCACGCACTCATCGGTACTCCTCATTTTGACCTCTCTCAGGTGGCTTGTTGAAGCCGTTATTAAAAAGCAAGCAGTTTCACAGCAATTTATGGCCCACAGGGCTCTGCGTTCTCACTCCTATGGTGACTCATGCCCTGTGGAATCACACAGGGACAGTGTGAGAGACAGAGACCTTTGCAAAGACATAAAGAAATACCAAATCTTGGCTTTATATCCAACTTTTATTTCACTGTCTTTTATAATGGCCTGTTAAATGTGCCATTGAATATTTAGGCATAATTGTAAAGAAACACAAAAAACAACAACTGATGGTATGATGATCCCAACGGATCACTACTGAATTTTAATAACCTCTTTGATCCAAGTTTTATAGCTCTAATTCATCTCAAAAGAAGATTTAAACAGAGAGCTGTGAATTCTTCTTAGGCTAACATATGTTGTCAGTCAGATTGTCACCTGGGGTTAGAGAAAACAACTTCAATTCATTACATGTCTGTTTGGTTGTGTGCACAGTGTCCAGAGAAGACTCCAGCCAGTCTCTAGCTTCCTGTCTGAACCTGCTGCCCTCACCTTTGGACCCATCTGGAGATCGCATTTTGGGAAAAGAAAATATTCAGAGGTAATAAATACGTGTGTTTTTATTGTAGTGCTTTTCTGTGCTTTGTGTTATACATATGTTTATAGGGACTGTCTTAAAAATTCTTAAGTCCATTTAGTGTAATTTTATAAAGAGCAGAGTTGTTTGGCTTCTTAAAAAAAGGGAAAACAGCAGCTAGTTTTTAAAACACATGGGCCACTTTATTAGGTATACCCATTCTTTTACTCGTTAACAGAAATATCTAATTAGTCAATCACATGGCAGCAACTCAATATACTTAAGCATGTAGGCATCCAGACCTGTTGGAAGTTCAAAAACAGCATCAGAATGGGGAAGAAAGGTGACTTTGAATGTGACATGGTTGTTGGGCTGGTCTGAGTATTTCAACAACTTAGATTTTACCATATCTGAGATTTACAGAAAATGGTCCAACAAAGACAAAATATCCAATGAATGGGAGTTTTCTGGGTGAAAATGACTTGTTGATGCCAGAGGAGAAAGGCCAGACTGCTTCAAGTTGATAGCAAGTCAACAGTAAGTTAAGCAATCACGTGTGTCAACCAAAGTGTGCAGAAGAGCATCTCTGAGTGCACAGCCCTGAAGCACATGGGCTGCAGTGGCAGAAGATCAGTCAGCTAAGAACAGGAAGCTGAGGCTACATTGTACACACGCTCAACAAAGTTGGACAATAGAAGATCCAACCAGTGTTGCCTGGTCTAAAGAGTCTTGAGTTCTGCTGCTAATTGGATGCTAGGTTCAGAATTTGGTGTAAACAACATGAAAACATGAATCCATCCTGCTCACTATCAACGATTTAGGCTGATGGTGATGATGTAATGATGTTGGGGCCCCGTTGTACCACTTGAGCACCATTTAAACTCCATAGCCTTCCTTGCTGACCACGTCCCTTTATGACCACAGTGTAGCTATCTTCTGATGGGTACTTTAAGTAACATAACAGGCCATGTCACAAAGATTACATCATTTCAAACTCTTGTTCCTTTAACAATGGATTCATCAGACTCAAACGGCCTCCACAGTCAACTCATTCCAAATAATGGACCAAAATATCTGAGGAGTGTTTCTATTACCTCGTTGAATCTGTGCCATGAAGAATTAAGGCAGTTCTGAAGGCAAAAGGGTCTCCAACAAAGAGATGGCAAGGTGTAACCAATGAAGTGGCCAGTGAGTGTATTATTACCCTGAACAATGCACGCTGAAGTAAGGTGAGGACACTTTTGAAAAAAAAAAAAAAAATACCACAGTGTTACTGTTTTGCAATGACCTGTAAGTGCAGTACACAAAAGTAAAAATATGCCCAAATCATCAGTGAGTGAGTCAAGTTATTGGAGGTGAACTTGCACACAGTTTTTTAAAGGTATTTGGAAGGTAGGGTGTTCCCAGCACCTTAGAGAACTTGTCAAAATTCTCTTTCTCACTTTCTGTTAACATGTCTGTTAATGAAATCCCGGTCTCACTTGGATGTTTTTTAAACCAGGACTATATCGGACTGGGATAATAGAACCAGAATCACATAAAAAATGTCGCCATGCACAGTGTGTGTGTGAGTGGGCGTGTTTTTTCATTTTACCTTATAAAATCCATATTAGAAGAGAGCGAGAAAGGTAGGCGGTTATTGTCTGTTCTGGGACTTGCTGATGTTGAATGTTCTGTGTAAATGCATGCAAACATGTTTTATATCTTTTCCTCTCTTAGAGATGAGACAGCATGAAGGAATATAAATAAATTAATTCTGATTGAATAAATATGCAAGCTGTCCTCCTCTCTCTGTCCCTTTGTAGCCAGTGACTGAAACAAAACACTTAAGAGTTTCTGTTTACACATGTGCTCCACTGCCAAGGACAGTTCAAAATCAGATTAGATTTGCCCACTTGTTGCTTCTTTTTGCCCAGAACCAGGATAAGTCTTACTGGATGCACACAAACCTGCATGCAAAGCCATTTGTCTGCATAAAGATACACAAGCACAAACACACACAGTGCAGCTTTTCAGATGGGGCTTATTTGGGTTTTATGGAGCCAACTGAGTAATAAAGGGGTTGTAGCACCATTGGCTAGGTAAAGATGATTATTGCTTTACCTTTCAGTATTGCTTTCTCCACTCACTAGTTGAATTTATCTCTGCTGGAACCCACAGAGTAATTGTGTCTGTCTAAATGTGTTTTTCCTTGAATAAACTAGCTCTGATCTTCTGTTTGTGGAGACAGTGCAGATCAACTTGTGTGAGTGGTTTTAAAGTAGAGGTTGACAGATTTATACTATACCATTGAGTCACTGGACTTAACCGGGGCCTCTTTTTGTGAGAAGGTTTTTTTTTTTTATCACGCTTCTAACGCTTCTCTTTGAAAGTTTCAATGAATAGAGAGACATTCTGTGTCTAGACAGTGTCAGTGAATCATGCAAGTCGGGAGTCAACCTTTTCAAATCATCCAAGGTTTTTGTCAGACTCATTGGTTGTTTCATTTATAGTGAAGTCTCACTTATCATTGAAAAGCAGTGGAGGAGCTTTCATATCAGACGCACACATACAGAGACACGCTCAAAAATATTTACATTATTGCCTTCTGTGTACAAGGTCATGGCAAAAATAACATTCTGCTGAAACCTTCTTTGGCTTGATTGAGCGTGTCTGAACTGAGCCAGCGATGTTTAGCTTGGAAATGTCATAACTTGAGGAACTGGTTCGATCCCTCTTGATCAAAACAGTGACATGACTTGGTGTTTTGACAGGATCCCTTTAGCAGAGAAAGCAGATGAATGAACCAAAGCATGAATGGATGAATACGCTGGTGCTTTTAGCTAAAAATGTAAGGTCTCAGTCACACAAGCCTAGAGATCAATCCGTGAACCCTGGGTAACTAACAGTTGTAAGGGAAAATGTGTTTCACCAGACTGGTTGCCAATTTAGTTGGCACAATGCATGGAAGATGCCAACTTATCAGCAGACATTCACCATTTAATCTCCACACCGTAGTGAAACTTTAAAATGGTAAATGGCCTGTATTTGTATAGCGCTTAACACGTTCAGTCATCCACCCATTCACACACGTGATGGTAAGCTACATTGTAGCCACAGCCACCCTGGGTCACACTGACAGAGGCGAGGCTGCCGGACACTAGCGCCACCGGGCCCTCTGACCACCACTAGGCAACGGGTGAAGTGTCTTGCCCAAGTACGCAACAACAGAGACTGTCCGAGCCGGGGCTCGAACCGGCAACCTTCCGATTACAAGATGAACTGCCAACTCTTGAGCCACGATCGCACATCGCCATTTCTAAAGGTTCAGCTTTGAAGGTGAATATTCTCAGTTTTCTGTTTGTGTTGCACTCTTTACAGCAATGACTGTAGAAAACATGGACGACGCGACAGCGCCTCCACCCATTGTGCAAAAATGAAGCCAAAATATCCAGCTTGTGGAGGCTGCCATCTTGCATTGTTGGAGCCAGAGTCTGCACAGTAGTGACTTGAGGTGGAGGTGTAAAGCTAGTTAGCGATGCTACACACCTGTTACTTTAATAGTCTGTATTATTGAAGGATTCAGCACTGCTCAGGTTTTGTTTCAATTTTTAGACAGTGATGAGATCAGCTGCACACTCCACAGAGGCTACAGTCCTGTAGAAAGTTATATATTTAAAAATATATGATCCTCTCTGGTTACTCTGGTATGAATAACTCTGTATCACTTTATGGTAAATAACACACTATCTGCAAAAAACTGAAAGAATTCCAGATGACAAGTTTGCAGTTAAACATCCAAGTGGCGACCTTTGACCTTCATCAGGTTTTATTTAATTGTGTCAGAGAAAATCAAATGTGCTCTTCATGCAGCTGAGTACATAAAGTATTTAAAACGGAAGCTGTACAGGTCTGAGATCAGCAGCTTTGTAAAACACCAAACTGAGGTCCTGTTAATGCTGATATATACTGGCACTGCTGGTGATTAATCCTTTTGACTTTTTGTCTTTAACTTTATCAATAAACAGCTGCAGCTTTCACTGACAGCACGTGTGGTACTTTAACCTTTGTACTGTTTTCATCAGTTAATTTTGCAGTTGACATGTGAACATGTTGGATGATCTGTCTGCTGTCACTGGGTGGTGCTGAGGTCTGAATCTGAGGGCAGCTCCTGTAATCACAAAGAGAACAGAACCATCACAAACTGAAATATAAAGTTTCTCTCAAGTCTGAAATAAAGCTGATCCTTCTCTGTCCCACACACTCAGGATCTGAAGCTCTTCTCTTACATTTTTTCAGTTCTACAGTTTAATCCACAGTTACTGATTAATGAGGAGTTACTGAAGTACAAGCTTTTTTAAAAAATGGTGTTACCGTCTTTAAAGATGTGGCAAGAGACAGAAAACATGCTGTTGTTTGCACATATTTAATAATCAGCTCTGCACAGGAGCTGAAGTAGTGTACAACCTGTTGCTTTTACAGTATAACACTTGTAATAAAAGTACAGTAACGATAATTAGTGACTGAGCAGCCCGGAGCGTTTTTCTTGATTTCTTTAGTCAGGGTAAATTCATTCACCTGCACGGGTTAGCTAACGAACGAAAACAAGTTTCCCCGACAGCTAAGTGCTCATCTTAGCTAGCTAGGTCTCAGGACCGAGCTAAGGACGGTAGTTACGGATTAGCTTACAAACACGTTTAACTTACCGAAAAAGTGCAGCGGGGCCTCGGGTCCTTCTGTCGGTAGTCCAGTTTACTGAAGAACACCTCAGGCTGTCAGGCTAAAACAGTCGATCGTGTTTTCGTAACGTAAACGCTGGCCCTCCTCTCAGAGCCTACGCTCTATCTGCTATTCCCGAACAGAGATACGCAAGTTTCTCCGTGACTGCAGCTGCCAGTCAAAGCTGCTGTGATGACATTACATCGCAATTTAACATCTCAGTGGACATAAATCAGCGTGGTGAGAACTATTGATAACAAAAGAAAGAATCTTTGGAAAAAATTTGTTAATTTATTCTAGTCTGATCCCCGTCCCATCTGCTAACA